TTCATGGGGTCACGAAGAGTCGGACACGACTTAACAACTAAACAACAACAACAATATGGAAAATGGGTTAAAGATGCTGATTCCTTCATTATGGAGATAGATAGATATATCTATATCTATATCTATATATAGATATATAGATATATGTATGGAGAATCTTATGTTTAAAACACTGCTAAACTTTTTTTTTTTTTTGAAGGGAGGCAAATTGAGCATCCACTATTATATTATTTATCTTTTTTTGTGCCGCTGATTCATCTTTAGGGAGATTATTTGCAGGTCATAAGCTTAAGCGTGTCATCTCAGTTTTCAGATCCTAGTGTGGCATGGCTACAGATGACTATATCTAATATTAACATGAAGCAGAAACCTTCCCCGTTCCTTCAAATCTGCTCCAACAGGTTCTCCAACCCAGCACAGCAGTCTGAAGCATGTGTAAGAGAAATCCATTCCGCTGGTAGATGTCATAGACAAATATGCTCTCTCTTACGGAGTATCCCTAGTATTATGAATCTCTTAATCTAGACAAAAGTTCTCCCTTTTGGGAGGTTATGACATTGGCTTTGAAACTGAAGACTCTTGCCCAGTTCTGAAAACTCTTGCCCAGTTCAGGCAGCACCTTTGAGGCCTACCTGATACCAGTTTTCTAGTGTCAAGAGAAGTGGCCTTGAAAGTTGACAGCAGGGGTGTTGTGGCATTGGGTTTCTCCTCCCAGGTCAGGCCTCTAGAAACAAGTAAAAAATGACCTATTAATTTAGATACATTGTCATTATTTATTTGTTGAAGTTAGTATTTATTGTCCCCCCTCTTGGGGAGATTCCAGCAAAGAAAAAATGAGGTCTACATCTCATTGTACAATGAACTTCTCATATACTCAATGTCAACAATGATGTGCCAGCATAATTAACAATAGTAAAGATAGTATTTCAATATAAGCAGTTACAATACTGCAAATTAGAAACATAATTCCTCAAATATAAGGTAGAAAACACCTTCTAAATAATATCTAATACACATTCAGATTTCTTTCAAATAAAGAAAATGTACTTTTTGCTCCAAAAATATTGTTTGTGTTCCTTATAAATTGGAAGATGTAATAAAAGTAAATAATTAAAAGTCTACACTTACAATCTTTTGTTCTTTGATGCATATTGTGTTGAATTTAAATTGGAAAAAGCATTGGATAGTTCTCATATACTGTATGAGGTTGTATATATGAAACTGAAGAAATAAAATGCCCCTGCTTCCCTTTCCTCCCCTGGTTTTGTTTTACACTAAAAAACAAAGTGGAGGACATACAGACCTTTTTTTCTCAATGTTTGTAAGCAATATGTGGATAATGCAACTGTTTTAAAAAATCCTGATATTGCTAATACTACTACTAATAAAGAATTTTTTTAAACAGTGACTACCCTAACACCTACCTATATAAATATTTCTAAATGTGCTTTAGAAGGTAATTATCCCACTCTCCATTTTCTATTCTATCTTTTCTTCAAGTTCACAGACCAGCAGACTTTAACCCACCTACCCATTGACACTTTTAAACAGATAAGTATGTAAGATAAAGGCTGTCCAAGATCACCACCACTTGAACCTGAGGCCCTAATCTGATTACTTTTTTCTATTCAATATCTCATATTTCTTTTTTCTATAAAATATGTCCAAAACAGCTTATAAAGAAAAAAGTAATAATAATATAAATCATTAGTTATACATATTTCCCCAACATAAAAGCAAGCATTGTAACAATCACCTTTTAAACACAGGCTATAATTTCAAACAAAGCAAAATAAAGAATTAGTAGCATTGAATTAAAAATTGTATCACATATGTTAAGACAGTGGAAGGAACTGTGTGTCATCCACATGTACTGCTGGACATAATTCTCAAAATCTATTACCAAGTTGGCTGTGGCTGATGGTAGCTGGAGTCCAACACCTTTCAGAAGGTTAACTATTTCTTCACACATTAAGTACTGCTATTTCTGTCTAACTGATGCAACACCAGCCCTGGCTCTCACTAATACTTCTGGTTCCACATGAAAGCCATTACCCGCTATATACATCATCATAGATTACAAAACCCACACACACACTGACTGCCATCTGGAGATAGTGGAAGCTACGGTCATGCTGATTGAGTGTGATGGGGACTGTAATCCAAACCATTTGGAAGATATAGAAATGCTGACAAGGGAGGAGGAGAACTGGACTGTAGTCCAGTCTCATTTAAAGCACCAAGATTTGGATGACTGGCTTGCCACCTACAAGCTCTCACCTGTTCTATTTGAACCTTTAACGCTTCAGCACGATTAACGACGTGGTTGCCTTCTTCCACAACTCCCCCACCACTCACACTCCACGACGGCCTAGTCTCTTATACAGTACTTCTTCCTCCGCCGCCGCCTGCGAGTTGATTCTGTTCGCCATGGAAACCGTTGCCTAGTTGCAGAGGCCCATCGGAAGCACAGTGTCCTCCCCCCTTCTTTTGTTCTACCTAGCAACCAAGTGAGAGTGGCGGCAGGGATCGGGATTTCATTGGTTACCTTTTTCTCTTCTTTATTCGTCCCCCCCCCCGCGCATTCAAGACTCGTGTGGGGGCGGGGCAGAGTGTGAGGAGAAAAGGCGCGGCGGCAGCGGCCGTTGAGGAAGTTGTTCGTCGGGATCTTGTACTCGATGGACCTAGAGCGGCGGAGGCACCTGGAGGAGGCGGAAAAGGATCCGGAGCCAGGTAAACGGTGGCGGGGAAAAGGGACGAGGGTCTTGCATCCTCCTCCTCCTCGTTCCTGAGCCGGTAGTAAAGGAGGAGCCTCTAATTATCTTTCAAGAAGAGGTATGAGCGCCCCGCTTTTTCTTTTGTGTGGAGACCAGTTTCTCTCGCCCCATAGTAACTGTCCCCCAGCCTAGATCAGTTGTGTTGGACTACAGTGCTTAACATCTTCAACCTCAATAATCAAGGGCGGGTTGCCTTCTGTGCGCCTTTTAGGACAATGAAAACCTGATTCAGCCTCTCCTTTCATGACAGAGGAGGTTGGAGAAGGAGGTTGCAGGTATCTCCCTCTTTCTCTTCCGCCCTCCCCTTCCCTTCCCTTCCTCTGGCCCTTCTCTGTCTCCCATACTCTCCTATATCTTCTGGTCAAAGTGGGCTTGGGACTGAAAAACGAGATAAATGAAGTAAATACCTGATTATGCTCTCTCTATCCTTGTAGATGGGGAAAGAAAGGAAGGAGGAGGATTAGGGGAGTCTTTCTTTGTTTTCCCCAGACATATTTCACCCCCATATAGTGGATAGGATGAAGCATATACATACATCATGTAATAATAATAGTTATTGTTTAATGTCACCAGTAATCTTACTTAAAGCTTTTTATGTCTGGCTATTATGTCTGAGCATAGGCCTCCAAACTGGCTGTCAAAACATTAATGCAAAATGTGTGTAATAAAGTGATATTTGATTAAATGTCAAACCTTTTATTAATTCATGTAACTTAACTTGCCTGTGCTGAACCTTGTCCTCATCAGGAAAAAATAGCAATGAAAGAAAATCTCTAGTTTCTTCACTATCTTCTTTTTGATTTTCCACCTTGCCTCTCATGCAGGTACTGAAATAAGGAGGAATGTCTACTGAATTATTTTCAACAAGGATGTGTTTTGCAGGGGCTAGAAGTAATTCTGGGGCAGAGTTGCTTTAGACTCACCTTTTCAGATGAAGTGGAAAATGACTTAATAGTTTGTGTTGATAAATTGATATTCCAAATCATCACTAGTGCGCAAAGAAAAACAATGAGTTACAACAAATATGAAGAAAATCCCTTGGCTTCTTGGTCTTTCCCTAGAAGAAAGACAAGTGGGGACCAGATAAAGATACCCTTTCTGTGGATTTCAGAAAGATATCCATTCTGTGGATTATGGATTTCTGACTGCTGCTGGAAAATTAAAATTAAAGATTAATTAAAATCTTTTTAGTAATGTTTTTAATTAAGGTTTTATTTATTTATATATTTTATGTTTTTAATGTTTGTTGTGTAATCGCCCAGAGTTA